TCGTGCATCGACAAGTCTCCAACACATGGGCATAAAACCTTACAGCAACCTGATCTGCAGAAGGCGTGTGAAGATCCTCTAAAAGAAGGCATGACAGAGGAAAGCGCTATTCTTCCTTTTTATATCATCCTGAAGTTCCATTTCTTCAGTAATTCGCCGACCTTTTTCGAAAGCTGAAAACGTGGTAGCATCAGGAATCTGGACAAGCAGTTGTCTAATTCCCTGTTTTGTCTTAAATAATGTTTTCTTCTCGCATTATTGCCTGGCATTTCGACATCATCAACAATTAATCCAACCGGTGACTTGTTCTCAACCAATATCTTTCTTTGCCTTTCTAACTCTGACAAATGTTAGTTATTTACTTCCACCGGTCGCAGACTCTTATTAGCATTGACTAAAGAACTGCCCTACCTCAACACCATAAGTGTAAGTTATGAACGAATTTTGAACAAAACCCACATTTGTGGGTTTCTCATTCGCATCTCTGCCCAGTTTTTTCTCTTCTTTACTGGCTAGAACATGTAGGAAGCATAACTTACTGCCTTTTCCTGACGGCATAGTGAACTTAGTCGTACCAAATAGTCTATTTATTGAACTAAGGGAGTCTTCTAGACTCTCTTTGCCATGCTGCCAGATAGCAAAGTAGTCATTCCTAGATCTGACTAACAGTTCCGGGACTAGGAATGCTTCTTGAAATAGCCCCACTTCCAAACGAGCCATGTAGTTTCTAGCTAAAACCGGATATAAACGCGATTTCATATAATTATACTCATATAATTTGCCCATAAAGATAAAACATGAAGTTAATCAATCTCATGATTGACTCCTTGCTTAGCTTATTTCCTAACATAATCTCTGAGTGTTAGCTTAATGTTGATCCTAAATCCTATATGGCCCAACTTGCCGGTATATGCATGTACATTGATACTACATCAAAACTTATGAGCAAATCTTCCACTTCTTTTATTTTCCCAACTACCGACGTAATAAACTCACTAAAATTATCTATTTAAA